CATAGAGAAGACTCCTTAGTAATTATTCAGTGATTAATTTTCCAGCAGAGACTTGCAATTATGTGGTTACTTGAGTTTCAACATTAAACATTATGTGAATGAGACACAGATGGAGGTTTCACGACAAATAAAGCACAAGACTGTCTTAAGACTCACAGGTAAATGTTGTCAAAAGTGCCATCCTTCTCACAAATGTTCAACACATGGTTCAGCATTTTTGTTCCTTCAAACAAACATGGCAAGATAAAAATCAGTGACGGGAAAAAGTGCAAATAACAAAATTCAAACATCACTGCTCTAGTGGATTATACAAATCTTCACGTCAGGCATCACTCAAAGACAATAATCTGATTATGCAATCATGCATTCAATCCAAGGGAATCGGACCCCTTTCTGCCCTTTGAAAAAAACGAGGACACACAAGTGCATAAAACACCCAGAGAAGTGATCTCACCTATGCCAAGTCTGCGGTAAGGTGCTAGGCAACCCAGGGTCATGATGTAGAGTCGCTTCTGGTTCTGAGAGTGATCCACTCTACAGCACACGGCACCAACTGCGATGTCGTTGAAATACGCTGTAAAAGGTTCAAATGGTTAGTAGGAATCTATTTATACTACTGTTCAAAGGTTTGGGTAATCAACTTTTTTTATTTTAAGAAATTAATACTTTTAGTCAACAGGGATGCATTAAATTGATCAAAAGTGATAGTAAAGATATTTATAATGTTACAAAAAAAATTAGTTTGTATGAATGCTATTCTTTAGAACTTTCTGGTGTTTTTGTCAAGAACGTTTAACATTCATAATAATATTAAATGTTTCTGGAGAACCAAATTAGCATCTTATAATAATATCTGAAGGATCATGTGATATTGAAGACTGGAGTAATGGCTGCTGAAAATTCAGCTTTGCCATCAGAGGAATTAATTACATTTTTAAATATCAAAATAGAAAACAATTTTACTAATATTTTACAATATTACTCTGTTTGTTTAAACAAACACAGCCTTTCAAAATCATTAAAAAAAAAAAAATCTTACCAACCAAAACTTTTGAACAACATTTAACCAATATCAAAACTATCAACAGGAAGTCACAGTAGCTTTGTTTCTTACCTAGTTTGGCGAGCTCTCCTACTTCAAGGACATCTTTGTAGAACTTGTCGTTGTAGCTGACAGGGAAGATCACTTGGTTCAGACGCTTCAACTGTTTAATGTTGTGGGGTGTAACGTCCCCCAACTCGATCCGGCTACTAGAACAAAAGCAGAACGGTCAACTAGCTGTGCACAGATGCTACACATCACATCAGTAGAGCATAGTCTCAAATATAAAATAATATAATATAAAATAACACTAATACAGCTTTACTAGTAGGGATGCACAATGTATTGGTACCATACCAGTTATCAGTCAACTGATAATAGATATATAGCAGATGTATGCATGTTTATCATTTTACCTATTTTAACATTTAATTACCTTTTGCATCATGTAACGATCACTTTAAGTAATTTAATAACTGTAATTTTTAGAAAATCTGCAGTTTTTATACTATCACTATCAAACTTTATTCACTATCAAAATGTGATGCCTAAATTACATTTAAAGTAACTGATTTTTTTATATACAGAAAATAGTATAGAATATTAATATCAGCCAAAATATTTTTTTGGCTTATTCTTTTTCCTTTTTTTTTTATAACAGTGCATCTCTATTTACTATTTTCTTTCTAGTTGGTGACATCCAAATGGTGCACTCACAAAAAATATCTTGGGTCAACTTGACAGTAAACTAGCAGTGTGTAAAGTCGGTATTTATAGGAGGTCAGCATGCTGAAGCCCAATACCAGCACCAACACAACAGCTGCTGGTCATGTGCTCACCACTGCCACTTAAACAACCAGTATGAGGTGACAGGAGAAAAACATGGACGCTAAATATGGTTTACAGGAGAATGATCATTACTATTACACAACAAAACCTTGTGATTCCTGATCATCAACTCAAAATGCATTGTTTTAAATGACAAGCTTGAGTGGAGATAAAGTCTCCCATTTTTTGGGTAAAAAAAAATCATGACATTTCATATAAATACTATCAAGCAGCCTTCTAGACAAACTCAAACTGTTAAAGCAGTGGACCCCCAACCTTGCTCCTGGGGCCCCCTAAAAATACACATTTTAGAGAGTTCTCTAATCAAACACACCTGATTCACATCAGAGACCTGTAATGGGTGTGTCAGATATATGTGTACTGCTGGAGGCCCTCCAAGAACAGGGTTGGGTACCACTGTGGTAAAGATGTGAATTTTAAACCGAATTTAAAAATGGTAATGCTTAAGATAAAAGGTACTTGAAGAGAAACAGACAACATCCCTTAATTTTATCTTTAGGCATGGTCAAAGCAAATCACTTCAGTGAGATTGCACTGTGACGCAACAGTGTCATAACGCAACATTGTGTTATTCATATTTATTACAATATATGTATTATTTCATACACCAAACTTGTAGTAAAAACCTTCATGGAGTGTCTTAAAACCCCATGAACTGTCATTTTCAGTATGCTATGCGGCTAAACTCACTCCATCACGTGTCACATCTTTCTGTTTTTACATCAAAATATTCACACATATTAAACCCAACAGAACAGCAATAAGCTTTAATGGCAAACTAACGGCCTCAGAAAGATATAAGCGTGGCAGGCTAACCAAGATAGCAACTTCAAGACTGACTCAACATTTTCGGATTTAGATTCGACACACGATCCAGTTTGGCACGGATTTAAGTCGTGCCATTTTTACTGGCATATGGTTTAATCTGACGCTAGATTATACGAGGCATTTTAAGGTGTTTCCGCAACACCAGCGGAAAAAAAGAGATGGCAATGTCTAAAGGCTGGGTGTGAAAATGCGGCGCAAATGTCTCTCCTCCACATTAAGCGCGCAGAGAGCTAGCAGCTAGCATTAGAACAACTCCACTGCCCCCCTGCTGGAAAAAAGAGAGAATAGAGAGGGGAAAACTTTACTTGAGATGAAAAGACCCTTCGTAGTTGTTTACTCACCCTTTCATGTTGAAGAAAACACGTTTGTTGTGAGGGATACAGGGGCAGTTGGCGGTATTTGTAGTCTAAAGGGGAATTTGGGCAGAGTTTGGGATGTGATCCCCTCCACATGTATGTTGCTAGCACACTAGCTAAGCAGTCCGCATTTGCCTCAGTGCTGTGGCCGAAGGTTGCCAGTTATTTTTTATTAAATCACCGCAATCAACTTAAGTCAGATTGAGAACCTAATTAAACTATTTTATAGCTGTTTTGAAATATAACTCATGTACTATAATAGTTAATGTAATTTTTATTGATGTGAGCATACATTCAATCTTTGGAAATGCTCTTACGATCTCACATAAGTAAGTGGTCGATGGTTGATGAAACAGAGGATTTGGCAACGCTAGTTCTGGGAGGCTGCTTCTGTCAACCTTCACCACTGACAACAAGCAACAGGAAACAGAAAAACGGGAAATTACGTTAAGGTAATTTTATGCCTTGAAAATACAAGTCCCGTCCTATTCTATTAATCGAAATAAAACAATGTATGAATGCTTCTAAAAAAAATTATTTTAATTTTAATTTTATTAAAATAAAATTTTTATTATTATAAAAATAGATTTCCAAAGGTCTCTTCCTGTACACAATGTAATAAAATACATTAATATGTACTATAAAATGAATAAAATGTTTTTTTATTTTATAAGAGTTTTAGAGTCAAATAATTTATCTCAAATTTCATTTAAACACAAGATTTTGTTTTAGACTGTGTTCAATTTTATGCAGTATAAAATATTAAATATATATTTAAAAAAATACTTATTTAAAATGCTTTTAAGATGTTTGACAGTTAGGTAACTATGCACTACACAGCTTCTTGTTGCAACTCTAAACTTTAAATGTGACAAATAAATCTAACACAGCTCTAAGCCATCCACAATGTGATTTTAAACCCTAAATACTAACACAGAAAGCACAATAATGTACCCAGTAATTCTTCTTCACCAGTGGATACATAGACAAAAAAAAAAAAAACTATGACAATAAACAATATGGCTTTTTTTTAATTTTGTATCATTAAAGTCAAAGTATCTTACGAAATATTGCAAAATAAAAATAACCCGAAACAGTGTTTGGGGTAATGCATTACAAGTAACGTGAGTTACGTAATCAGATTACTTTTTTTAAGGAACTAGTAAAGTAATAATGCATTACTTTTCAAGTAATAATGAGTTACTTTTTCAAACATAGCATTTGTGTTTGTTTTTTTCTTTTTCTTTTTCGTTTTTTTTTTTTTTTTTTGAAGAGTTGAACTTTCTTCTCCTGCATTCTACTGTACAGACATGAATTTACATGTGAATTTACTTCATCCTGAGGCTTATTAATTTCACTTTTGGTGTGAAAGGGTTTTTACATTTGCCAAAAATATAACTTTTTTATATTAAAAACAAACAAGCAAGCCCAGCCCAGATTTAAAAAGTAACGTAACGCATTACTTTCCATAAAAAGCAAAGTAATTAGTTATTTTTAGGGAGTAACGCAATATTGTAATGCATTACTTTTAAAAGTACCTTTCCTCAACACTGCCCGAAAACATGTACATTTTAATGAATCATGTTTACCTTATATACAAAAAAACATTATTGCCTTATTTAAAAAAATGCATTGACATGTCATAAGGAATCATAAACATGTCATGTCATAAGGAATTGAATAATGAATGTAAAATAATATTCTCTGACAATGTTATGGATGTGACTATGTACAAACTAGCAGCAGAATTGCGTGTTCCTGAGCCACCACAGGCAAAGATGGTGGATTTCAAATCATGATATACCAACCACTGAGCAGCCACTGAGATGAGCGTCAATGTTAATGCAGAGATCTCTCCAGGTATTGTAGACGTCCCTGGATGTAATAAATTGCTTCCATTTATTGCATGATATTCCACATTGGTATCACTGAATGAAACATTTTCTTATTTTCAGTCTTTCAATTTCTTTCCGTAGTTCATTTGTTTCCTCACTTTTTAGTTTAAGTAAGCTTTCAAACACTCTTTCCAGGTCTTCATAATCTTTTCGACTGTGTTCGAGTTTCTCAGTAAGCTCTTGAATGTGGCGATCTTTATTCTCTCCGAACTCATTAAATTCCTCTGCTTGTTTTCTGGCTTCAACTTCATGTTCCTTCTTTATATCTTTAATTTTCTGTTCATATTCCTTTTTCAGTTTATTATGTTCTTTTTCTTTTCTATCTTTCTCCTCTTTCTCTCTTCTGCTGATCTCCACCTCTTGCTCTCGTTTAAGATCCGTATTTTCCTCCATATCTTTCTCTCCTCTTCTCTTCTCTCATCATCCTCTCGCTTACTTCTCTCCCAGTCTTCTTTTTTCTCTTGTGCCACCTGCTCATGTTTTGCAAATTGCAATTCATTTTTCTTTTCTTCAAGTTCTCTCTCTTTTTGCTCTCGCACTCTTCTCTCAGTATCTCTCCATCGCTGTCTCTCCTCCTCTATCTTTTGTCTTTCTTCCTCGCTCTCTCTTTCAGATTTCTTTCTCATTTTCTCCAGTTCCTCTTGTTTTTCCCTCAATTGTTCCTCGTGTCTCTCTTTTCTCTTTATTTCCTCTTCCTCTCGTTCTCTCATGTTTTTTCATTTCCTCGTCCCATTCTCTCTGCTGTTGTTTAAGGTTCTCTTGAATCTCCTTTTTGTCATGTTCATGTTCTTTTATTCTTCTTTCCCATCTCTGTCTCTCTTCCGCTTCCTCCCAAATTCTCCTTTGTTCTGCCAAACGTTTCCTTTTATTTTCCTCTTCTTGTTTCTTTTTTAATTCTGCCATGACACGCTCAACTTTAAGCTTTTCTTGATCTTGTTTATATTTCTCCTCTCTGTTTTTATCTTGCTCTTCTTTTTCTCTTTGCTGTTTTTCATACAGTAGTCTCTGATCTCTTTCTGCATCTCTTCAATTTTTTGGTGATATTCAGCTTTTTGTTGTTTTTCTTCATCTGATCGTCTCTTGTCATCCTCCTCTCGTCTCTTCTGTTCTGCCTTTTCTTTCTCTTCAAACTCTTTTCTGAGAGTCTCCTCTTTTTCTCTGAACTGATTCACCATTTGTATCCTTTCCTCATCTGCTTTTCTTTTCTCTTTGTCTAGTCTCTCCATCATGGTTTCCATTTCCATGTCGTAATTTGTCTGGATTTCGCTTTCTTTTTCTTTCAGTATTTCCTCCACTCTTTTTTTAATGGACATCTCTGCTTCCTCAAACATGCTGTTTGTGAAATATTGCCCCTTATTAGATTTTTTCACCTCTTCTATCATGTTTAAAAGCCAAGTAACTTGTGCATTATCTTTTTTGTCTGTTATTAAAAACTAAAAACCTGTTTCCACAGTTCCTGATCAATTTCTTGAGATCAGCATTTTTACTTTTCTCTACATACTGTTCTATTGTTTCATTTTTTCAGATAATCTCCTCTAGTGAACAGAACAATGCTGAACTGTGCAGCACTTGGACCAAAAATCATTTTTATCAGATCCACAGTGTTTTTCTCTTCATTGGTAAATCTTCCCACACTCAAGACAATAATAAAGACATGAATTGCACAATTCTTAAAAGCCAGAATCTGATGGTGCATCTTCACCTGAAATGAGAAATGATAGACTTTTAACAATTTACACAAATATGTTTTCGTCAGGTACTACACAAATAAATAAATAGTGGACTACAGCTCAACATTAAAGCATGTCCACTTGTTTGTTATTGTACTACATTCTACTGGACAAGTGTATGTCTAGTGTAATGAACATTTTATTATGGAAAATCTCAAAGAAAAAAGTATTTAAAAAGAAAAACTGTGATTAACTTTCAAATGAGATTTAAAAAGATAGCTAAGTTTTTTGAGTACCAGATATGTTATACTTATGATATACTTTTTTTCTTCACTCACCCTCTTGTTGGACATTCCGCCCTTTGATTTTGATCTCCATTTCACTCAGTTTTTCCTCTAGCTCATATCTCACTGTTCTCTTCAGCCTTTATATACATCTGAAGTGAGTAGGGTTCTGTTTTAATGCTCTCTATACATTCCAACAGGTCAGAGATCTGATCAAAGTTTCTATGGTCCTTCAATCCCATTACATTGTAATGACCTCTGTACAACTCTTTGAGATTCTGTGGTTATCACAGAATTTCTCACACTTTGGTCAACAGTGAGATCTGTAGTGAAGAGCACCATGAAGTGCTCTTTGTAGTAAAATATCTTCTGGATTTTCTCCAGTTCTATTTTGTCTTCATCAGTAAGTGGACCAACAGGAATAATGAGGAGGAAAATATGAACTCCAGAATCACAGAGAGAAACACAGCGGAGAGTCTGGCACATCACCTCCTCTTCTGAGAGCTCAGTGAGAGCTGGAAGCTCCACCACAGTGATGAGAGTTTACACAAACTAAACTAGACTGTCTCTGATGTGTGGATGAAGTTTTCCCTTGTAACATATCGGACACAGAGGCCTTGAGCTTTGTATTTCTTCCACACAGCACCAAGTTTAATTTAGCTTGAAATGAAAAACTATTTAAGAAACAGTTGACTTTGGTCCTTAAATTAACAGTTTCCTTAAACAACATCAATAAAAAAAAATACTGCAAAATATAATTAGTACACATTACACTAAATTCTACTTATTTGAAATCAGTATTTAAGAATTTATTTATTATATTTAAGTAAATATTAAATATGTGAGTATTTAAAGAACTCTTTATTTCTTCTTATTTTTATATTTATTTTTATTCTATATTTTTAATGAATACAGTTCTAATCAATTTCTTATTTTTAAGTGACAGTCTTCCATATACACCCATAAATTGCATGAGAACTCCCAACCACCCCACATGAATGGCATTAAATAATTGCACTGTAGAGTTAAAATGCTATTAATAGAGCCAAAAACCTCATTGAGGTTTTTTAAATCTTTTTTTTTTTTCATAAAATTAAAATATTTTTATCTTCTCTACTCTTTGAATGATCTCAGAGTAACATCCTGGTTGCCTTTGATCAAACTGGAGATGTACTCCTCCACACTCCTTTATTAACTGATGCATAGCATTATTCTTTAGCACAGAAGCCAGCGAGGAGGTCAGTGTCTCTTTATCAGTAGTTAACACTATTGTGCATTTAATTGCCTTGTCACTGAACTGTTTCAGTACATAATTTACTCTTCGTATGTCATCCTCACTAAAGTCATTATGCTGTAGTACGAGTATGATCACATGAGGTCCTGGATCAGACAGATACACACACACACTCTTTCACTCTCTTAGCAATCTGAATGTGGTAGAGGTCTGGCTGTAGAAGATGAGGATCATTGATGACAGTGATGGGTCTGTCCACTAGTTGTCCTCTAACTCTCTCTGTGCGCTGCTCTACATCAGCTGAAGGTGCTTTACTCTTGTATATTCCCAGGATGCTGTTTCTAACTCTGTTGTTTGCCAGTGCATCTTCCCCAGCAAGACAATCCTGAGCTCACTCACTTTAGCACAGAACAAACACACACACACACACACACACGCACACACACACACATCATGCAATGCAAAATCACTGTAGCAATCATCATTGAAAAATCTCAATCAAATATGCAGCATCAGACAGCAATAATGTCAAAATTAACATACATTTAAAAAACATATGAGACTGAGAAAAGAATTTTGCATTCTACATATAATAATAAACGTACAAACAGATTTCACATAAGACTAACAAAATAATAATAATATGAAAATATCAAGTACCAAATACCAAACATAAGTGTAATAATACATTATTTAAATGAATTACGTTGACTTACTGTTTGGATGTTCAACATTTAGACTTTTCCGCCTATTAAGCCCTAATGTAAAACACACAGAGAAACACATTTTTGTTATAACTGCATGTGTATGTATTATAACTGTATAGTGTGAGCAAAAATAATCATAACTGACTTTAAATTGAATGTGTAGTACTTAATTAACAGACTATTTAAAACTGAAAGGTGATAGTTACCAGGAAACATAGTTGAAATGATAGCTTTCAGACTGTGATTGTTTCCTTGTTGTTGCTATTTTTGAGACTTACAAACAACCACTTTGACCAGCGACTCTCTGTTTTTCACATCATTTAGTTTCAAGTCTAGACAAAACCAACCAGAGCACAAAATAAACACACAATAAAACAAGCACACTATTAAAGTAAAACTCTAATTTTTGCAAATTATATTCAACAGATTTATTGCCATTTTTATCTATTGTGGACGTCATTTAATCCACATTGCCTTTAAGTCTTATTAAAGTTTTACAACATAATAAGGTAGACAACGTGTAGCGCCCTCACCACCTGATGAGGGGAGATGTGAATTGTTAATAAAACACAGGACACGGAGCTGCTGCTTCACCATCAGAGTCTCTGTATTTTCTGAGCAGCGCGCCCCCTCCCCCAAACAGGTGAACACTTCCCAAGGGAAAATAATCAAGCAATCAGTGAATCCTTCAAGGCTGAGCAGGGAACATTAATCGTCACAGATAATACATTCTAAAGTGCATTCGGAAAATACATTCACTTGTCTTAAGTTCAGTGTTACTCTAATATAATTTATTTGCAATTTTTCTTAGTTTTACACATTTATTATTATTATTTTTAAGACCACCACATGTGTGCGTGTGTGTGTGTTTATCCTCTGTCTTTTTGGCCACCAGAAGCAAATTCGCCCCAGCCATTATATCCAATTAGCAAGAGGCTTTCTTTTCTTCTTCACCGCCCCTACCTCTCAACGCAGAGTGGTAGAGGGGAATTATGGCTGCATGCTTCTTTGATGAGAACAAATAAA